TCTGCAAAATGTTTCACTGTGGTTTTTGATGAGCTGTCCCAACATGAGGATATTTTAAAGGATCAAGTAGGCCAGCGGAAAAGGCTAAGATTCATTGATGAGTTTTTTCTAGTGCTGATGAGAATCAGATTGGGACTTTAGTTAGAAGACCAAGCTGATAGGTTCTGTATTAGTGTGTCCACATGTAGCACTATTTTTACCAGTTGGATACACTTTTTGTATATTAATTTATCACCACTGTTCCACTGGCCCTCAAGACAGCAAGTTGATGATATGATGCCATCAAAATTTTAGAAGATTATGAGTGTCAAAACTACATGTTACTGTCGTCTAAAAATTAACCCTGTCCCTGTTCTTTTTACACATAACTTTCTTAACATTGGAGAAAGAGTTAAAATTTGTGGGCCTGTTCTGATTGAGCCAAGCTCTATTTAAGATCAGATAATATTCTTTTATTGATCCAAATAAATGGAAATGTTTTTTGATAGCATTATACATAAACAGCCATTCAGTGAGTTTAGGGGAATAGTTTAATTTTACATCATGAAATTTTCATTTAGAATACCTAATTTAATAACAAATTCAAGAATCTAACAAAAGAGTCTTGTGCGCTCAGACTTTCATCTAACTTTATCGATTCCACACCACCATAGCAAACATTTGTCAATATACCGGTACATTCAATCACAAGACATAAATCTACATTTTCAATATCTGTGCATCAGCTGTTAAATAAATTATAGTTTTATAGACTTCATTAAAAAAAAATTTTTTATTATGGCAATGCCTTATATATATATTATATACACCGCTTTTACATTTCATGATGATTTGTTTTCAGGTACAGCTGAGCATGCAATAGCTTAGAAAATATTTTTAAAGGCATTTAACCTGTCATTTTCAATTAAACATCAAAGCTGGAAAATACCAATAAAAACAAAAGCTTGTAACTTAACAAGAATTAAAAATGGACTGATTGTTGCATTTACTTGCATAATTCTGACAATTGAAGATTTTAAAAAATAAGTTAAAATTAACTTTCTGATACAGACAACCTTTACATTGCTGCTAAATAAATTTGTATTGGTCCTCCCACTCTTTTTTCAGTAAAGAGACTTGCCTCTTTGCACTCGACGTGAAAACAGTTCAGGTACCACACCTTCTAGAAAGAACTGCTTTAATTTTTCCTGCATATGTGACCAAAATATGGCATCAAAATAGATTCTTTCCACGTGTAGATCTTTAATGTCCAAACAACAAAAATCTACCTAGTTTGCCAGTTATGCCCATCTGACCTTGGATTTGGCAGAAATAGTGATGGGAACGTTTAAGTCTGATACTATTATTTTCTATGGCACAGAAGAAGGCTTTGTTTTCACATGACTCTTTCACTGTTAAATCTCTGTGGGTAAAGGGATGTTTGATTTCCACCAAGCCCACAGATGGAAAACAATGATTACAACAAATTACAATGCCATCTGGACTGGGAGCCAAAAAACTATTGTTCTTATCCATAAAGAGTCCAGACTCCTCTACTTGCAGACCTGGGTGCTCTTTTTGCATATTTTTAACATAAGCAACTCTGGAAACAGCTTCTTGTGATCTTCCCCACTTTACAGAGGACACATCAGGCACACGGCGGTAGCCCAATACTTCTTTTAAAATATTATCCACTGCAGTTTTATCCCTCTTATAGTTATTTGTCCAAAACTTGAACTTGTTAATCGACCCTGGCGAATAACTCTCCACAGGAGATTGCTTGCCTGTCCTCTAGTTTCTCTTTCAATCCGAGTGACGTCGAAACTAGGAAAATTGAGCATATACTTTTCAAAAATATCCGTACAAGTTTTAGTTTTTAGGTCTGTAGAATCCTTAAAATTGTATTCCACATCAGGCAACAAAAATACTTTCTCACAAAACTCAGAGGACTGTGCTGTTGTTAACACATAGCCTGAATTAGGTTCCACCAAGGAGAGCTTGTGACACAGGCGAGAAAAATTTACAATTGGGGATGTAAGTATTACTCGCTCAAGTGGCCGAAGTGGTCTCTCTGTCACTTTTTTGGGGCTTATTAGCCTTTTACGTTTTGGGACACTCCATGTGCAAGGTTGGGATGTGCATGCTGTCAGACCATTCTTCTTCTTCTCACAAATGTGTGAAGCATAGTAGAGAGCGGCAGCCATGTGATTACACGATCCACCTTCTCTGAAAATAATTTTTTTTAAACTATTACTGTCATAAAACTGAAACATTTATGTGATAACCTAAACAATGAAACTGTGTTTATGGACAATGACAAAAGTTAACTGAATAGAGTCATAATCATAACTGTATTATAGAATATTAAGGAAAATAAAATTAAGGAGGCGACAAGACTTTTTCTTTGTTAAAAAAACTCCCAAATAAGCTTAGTTTTACCAGTAGAAATAGTAATGACAACAATAAAATTTAATGAAGACAGCACAATAATATATTGTATTTAAAATTAAAATAAATTAAAACTCAGAATAGCTTACCCTGCAGTACAAGTACAATGTGCAGAATGTATATGTCCAGAGATCTTGCTTAAACATATCCATGTAGTGTAATCAGGTGTCTTAGAGACCTCCTTACTTGGCAAAGATGGCATGACCTTGGCTTGAATGAAACAATGGTCACAATCATCTCTGGAAAAGTTAAATGAAACATTTATCAGTTAGGGTATTTTTATGGTGCTACAACATCTATGGAATATTCAAAGTCTATTTTGTTTTCAAACTGTTTCTTGTTATAAAAATTAAAATTTTAAAACAAATAAATTCACCATCTTATTCTATTTGTTAATGTAGTAATACTTACATAATGTCAATGTACTGGTATTATGCTATTTGTTAATGTAGTAATACTTAAATAATGTCAATGTACTGGTATTATGCAATGTCATCTTTACCTGATAGGATGATAAGCAATGCTTTGCACATGTCCTTCTAGGAAATTAGTTCTGCCCTTCAGTTGTCGTGATGCTCCCATCACTCTGCTATCAGTTGTTTACAATCTGTAAAAATGACAGAGAAAATTAATGCACTACAATATATAAGAGTAAGAAATTATGACAGTATTTACTATATTCCTCAAATGTTAAGAAAAGCAAAGAGCCATACACCAACCAACCCGTACTGCTGATAGTCATTTGCGACAAAAAATAAAAAATATAATTACTGTACTTAAATTACATATGAGCAGCGAATGTTTGTATGTGTAATTTTGTATATTGACTTGATGATTAAATAGATCATTTGGATTTTTTAAGGCTACTGCTATTGGTAGTCAACTACCAATAGCCCCCAGAGAGCTATTGGTACTCCTGTAGTAGTTAGTAGTAGTAATTAGTGCTAGTTTATTACTATCAAAGACTAATAATTAGTGATAGATTTTGATGGATGTACTGAATGTACTGCAGTATTGTTGGAACTATTTTTAAAAAATTACATCATTGAAATCACTCTTTAAAAATGAGAGTTTGGGTTTATTAAAAAATATTTAAAAATTATGGTAGGGTTTGTAAGAGAAAATTTGGTATCAAATGAAAGATAGGCCTAATTGAATGGACTATATTTTTGTAATCTTACTTCTGGGGTGTCCGAATCCCATTAGACCAATGCTATTCGGATGTCATTTGTGGTAGTGTATTTTAGTTAAACTGATACCAAATTTTGTCATACAACCTATCAATAT